CGTTGCGGGCGCCGCGGCTCGGGCTCCGACTCCGCAATCCGCGCCGGGCCTTGCGAGCGGCCAGCCCCCCGCGGTGACCCCGGAGGGCGGTGGCGCCCAGACTGACTAGCCCACACGACTGCGCTTGCGCGGGAAACGAGGTGGAGGGGCGTGGCGATGTGTGAGGGGCGTGGCGATGTGTGAGGGGCGGAGCGATGTGCGAGGGGCGGGGCGGTGGGTGTGTGGGCGGGGCGGTGGGTGTGTGGGCGGGGCCGCGGGCGGAGGGGCGGGGCAGTGCTTCCCGGCCTCCGCCGGGGCCCGACGGCAGCCCCGGTGCTGGGCCGGCCTCCACCCCGAGACCTCCAAGCCGGGGCCTCGCAGGTCCACGGGAGCCGAGCTGCGGAGCCCCCGTGGTGGACTCCCGGGCTGCTTTTCTCCACCGGTCAATCCAGGCCCTGGCCCTACCTCACCCACCCCCTGGCCTGGGCCCCGGCTGCGCGGACGGATGGGCAGACACGAGCCCCCGGCTTTCCTGGCTGGGGTCTGCGACCGCGCTCCCACCCCTGCTCCTCCACCTCCCCTCCACGCCCTTCCCAGGCCCAGAGCCCTTCCGGCCCTTGGCACAGACCTCAGACCCCCAGCTGCCAGCTGCCAGCCCTGGGCTGACTTCCCTGTTCCCGTCCCCCACCCTTCTCCTCCTGTGGTCAGCCCCGAGCCTGGGCAGCGCCCGGAGTGCCCTCGCACAGCCCCAGCCCATTGAACCTCCTCGGGGCCTCCTGCATCCTCCCTCCACTGGGACTCCCTTCGGGGTCACACAGTAGATGGCAGAAGCAACCTGCCAACAGCCGCATGTGACAGCACAGCCCAAGCAGTCCGCATGGTGCAAGGCTCCCCTGGACACAGACCTTGGCCAGGACAAGGTGACACCCAGTGCTCCCAGGGCAACTGCAGGCTGCCCCGTCCCGGGATCCACAGAGACACAATGCCAGGCACTGCGCCGCATACTCACCTGACCTGCGGTTTTGAACGTCAGCGCCCTGCTCAGGAATCATCACTCTTTTGTAAAGCTTGTCATCTAAAGGAACCCCCTGTTTTCCCTTGACCACCGTCACCTCTCCAACTTCTTCTTGCCCAGGATGCCTTCTCTTGGATCTCCTCCCAGGTCTGGCTGTCTCCAGCCCCTTGCCTGCCTCCATCAGGCCTGGGCAGAGCTCTGACTCTGCTCTGGGTATGGTGAGAACGGCTGGGCCGACAGACAGAAGGGATCCTGGCTCAGGTGAAGACAATGGGAAGAAGCAGGGATCCTGGCTCAGAGCAAACCTGGGTGCTCACCAGTCTCAAAGGGCAGGAAGACTGCGGTGTGGAAAGGGAACTAGAACATTCCTGCAGGTTGTCTGTAAGATTTGGCTTCTTAAAAATAATGCCGGGCGCTGGTGGCTCATGCCTGTAATCCTAGCTACTCAGGAGGCTGAGATCTGAGGATCGCGGTTCAAAGCCAGCCCGGGCAGGAAAGACCGTGAGACTCCTATCTCCAATAAACCACCAGAAAACCGGAAGTGGCGCTGTAGCTCAAGTGGTAGAGCGCTAGCCTTGAGCTGGAGAGCTGAGGGATAGCGCCCAGGCCCAGAGTTCAAGCCCCACGACCGACACACACACAAAAAAAATAATGAGCATGGGGGCTGGGAAGATGGCTCAGTGGTAGAGCGCTTGCCTTGCATGCATGAGGTCCTGGGTTCGATTCCTCAGCACCACATAAACAGAAAAAGCCGGAAGTGGCGTGCTGTGGCTCAAGCGGTAGAGCACTAGCCTTGAGCTGAAGAGCTGAGGGACAGCGCCCAGGCCCAGAGTTCAGGCCCCACAACCCACAAAAAAAAAAAAGAGAGAGAGCATGTATTACTTTGGCAAGTAGGATTATTTAAAAACTGAGATCAAAGCAAAACATTGGTTATACAGTAGGAAATGGATGTAAGTAAGTGATAGGTGAGTGTGTCGCCAGTGAGTCACGCCTGTAATCCCAGCTTCTCCAGAGGCTGAGATCTGCCGATTGCGGTTCAAAGCCAGTCCTGGCAGGAAAGTTCGTGAGACTTTTTTTTTTTTTTGGCTTGGACACAGTTTTCTGGTGGTTAATTGGAGAAGGAATTTCATGGACTTTCCTACCCGGGCTGGCTTTGAACCATGATCCTCGGTTCTCAGCCTCCTGAGTAGCTACGATGACAGGCATGAGCCCTTGGCACCTGGTCCATGAGACTTATCTCCAATGAACCACCAAAAAGCTGTGGCTCAAGTAGTAGAATGCTAGCCTTAAGTAAAAAAGCTAAGGGACAGATCTGAGTTCAAGCCCCAAGACTACATACCCATACCCATACACACACACACACACACACACACACATGCGTGCCTGAATGCACACATGCGCACAAGCACATACACTCTACTAGTCCACAGGAAAGGGAGGAGTGAGCTTGGTGCACATACAGCTTTCCTGAGGTGACTCACCTCTGCCCCTCCCCCGCCCCAATGTGTGGACACAAGGGCACAGGCCTGTCATCCCCAGACACGAGGAGGAGGACCGCGCTGGGAGCCGGCTCGGGCACAGCCACACCTACTTGGACAATAATAATGCTAGCAGCACGGCTCAGCTGGTAGAGCGCCTTGTCTTGGCAAGCAGGAGCCCCCGAGTTCAGGCCCCAATATCAAGAAAAAGGTTCTTATTCCAAAATAGCAGGGCACTGCATCGATCCATCCAGCGACACCCAGAGCAAAGCCAGCGCTCACTTTATTTAGCCCCGCACTTCCTGAACGGAGCGGCCTCGGGCCTTGGAGCCCTGCACTGCTGGACGCTGCTCCCAGTGTTCCGGGACCCTGCTTGGGAAGCCTGGGGGGGGGCACCCTAGGGCAGAGGTCCAGGAGTGCGGGGGAGAGAGGGGGGAGAGGAGGTGTGACCAGGAGCTGCTGGAGGCGGGGCAGGAGAGGGAGGGGCCTCTCCCCCATCCCCCCACACCCTTCCCACCGGTGGGGGGGGCAGGTGAAGAGGGGTCTCCTGGAGGAGGGGCGCAGGGAGGGTGAGGACAGGCGTGCGGAGGGGGCCCCTCGCTAGGCGCAGGCCGTGTGGTTGTAGAAGCGGCAGCAGTTGCTCAGGGCCTGCGGGCCCAGCGCAGGGCCGAGCTCTAGGCTGTGGAGAAGGTGATGGGGCAGTGGAGCCTCCACTGGGGGGCGGGGGGACGGGGGACACACCACGCCGGGTCCCTGGTCCCCAAGTTGGATCCTCACACCTTGGTGTCTGCCTCCCCTGGCCGTGGCCACAGCTGCTGCTGCGGGCCGTCCTTGTGCCCCGAGCCAGACCTTCTGTTCTCTGGTGCCCAGCCCCCACCCAGCCCAGTCCGGGCCCCACCCCGCCCCACCCCCTGCCCCGGCCCTCACCTCTGGAAGGCCTCACGGCAGCACTGATACACCTCAAAGCTGCTGCTGCTGAGGGTGCTATTGAGGAGGGACGCACAGTCCACCTCTGCCCCCCTGGGCACGTACAGGACCCCTGCGGGGAGAAAGCGGCCGGGGTCGGAGCCCCAGCCCCGAGCTGGCCCAGCTCACCTCCACCCACCACAGGGGCGTTCACCGGGGACACGTGGGCCACTCACCCGCCACGCAGGCGTTCACCAGAGACACGCAGGCCCCCGTGAGCAGCGCCCGCAGCACGATCTGGGAGAAGTCGCCCCTGCGCTGGGGGGCCAGGGAGGCTGCGAGGAGAGCGGCGCTCAGGGCCCGAAGCAGGCCCCCCCTCGCCAGCCACGCCCCGCGCCCCCCGTGAGGTCACAGCCCAGCCACCCAGTGCTCCCCAGACTCAGCCCTCCAGACCCAGCACCTGCCCCGGCCCTGGTCCCTGCGAGCCGCGCGGGGAGGGCTGGGAGGGCAGGGCAGAGGGGGAGCGGAAAGGGACGGGGAGGGGAGCATCCTCCCTGAGCCGGGATGGAGGCCCCCCAACGCTGTGGCGCCCAAGAGCTGCGGGAGGCGCAGGCTGCAGCCCCTGCGCGAGACGGGGGTCCTCCCTGCCACGCACTCAGGCCCCCCAGCATGATCCCGATGGAGCTGAAGTTGGCAAACCCGCAGAGGGCGAAGGTGGCGAGGATTTCCGCTCTCACCTAAAAGCGCAAGGGAGTCGGGAAGGCGGCGGCGGCAAGGCTCCATGCCCTCCACGCGGGGGCTCCCTCCCCGCTGCGCCCCCCCCACCCCACCCTAGTGAGCTCAAGGACAGCCCCCGTCTATCCTTCAACCCCCCCATCTTAACGCCCCACCTTTGGTGTGACTGACTGGGCTCCGCTCCCTGGTTTGGGGGCCGGGTACGGGGAAGCAGCTGGCCCCCAGGACGGGAGGGGCCTGGCACCCGGGAGGCCACCCCGTCCTGGGCGCGGACGGGCCACTCACCGAGATCCACTGCTTGGTGCCGCCGACCCACTCCTCAGCCCCCGCCAGGCGGCGCTGCTTGTACTCCGACAGCCTCTGGTAGGCCACGAACTCGTTCAGAAACAGTTTGATGCCCAGCAGCTCGGCCACCAGGGGGCAGTCCTCCCAGGCGGCGCCCATCAGGAAGGCCACCGGCCGCAGGACGTAGGAGCAGAGGAGCTGGGACACGGCGGAGGAGGGGCTGGGACGGGGCACGCGGGGCTCTACCCTCCCTCACACCCCATCCCCGCCGCCGGCCCACCTGGAAGCTGAGCCCCTGCACGTCCACCATGGCGCCCAGCCAGGAGAGGGCGGCGTTGACGAAGGCCAGCACAGCCAGGAAGGCGATGAGGTTGGCGGCAATGTTGGCCACGACCTTGACGGAGACGGCGGCCCCGCTGCTGGCTGCCTCCACCAGGTTCTGAGCAGCTCTGTCGCCAGGGAGGGGACAGCGGTCAGAACGCCATGTCCGCAAGCCGCAAGGCTTCAGAGAGGGACCTGGCACAGAGGGCTGGGGACCAGAGGGGCCCCGCGTCCCCCAGACACCGAGAAAGGCGCCAGGGAAGACCAGGGGAAGACTGGGGTGTACCAGGCAAGGCAGGAGCCGCCGCCACGCGCGGCTTTGACCCTCGGGAGAGAGCCGGCTGGCCGAGTGAGCTGTGTTCTGAGTGCAAAACTAGCCCAGGTTTTGAGGAATTCGGGGGGGGGGAGGAAGAGCAAAATATCTCTGGTTCAAAGCAGGAAAGTCCGTGAGATTCTTATTTCCAATGAACCACCAGGAAACTGGAAGCAGCGCTGTGGCTCAAGTGGTAGCACACTGGCCTTGAGCAAAAGAGCTCAGGGACAGCGCTCAGGCCCTGAGTTCAAATCTCACAACCAACAACATCAAAAAATATAAAATGATAGAAGCTCGCGGTCTAGTCCAGAGCCTGGTGTGGGGACTGGGCGTCTCCCCCCCCCCCCCCGTGTCCCCTGTGCTGGTTTAAAAGTGTCCCCAGGGGCCCACAGAGGGTGACCAGGTGGCTGTGGAGGAGGGAAGGAAAAGGGGCAGCTGAGTGTGGTCCACACACGCTTGCCACCAGGTGGGACCCATAGCCCCCCCACCCCGGTGCCCTGCGCCCCCCCAGCCGCTCACCCGGAGCTCAGCTCCACCCCTTCCCCACTCCTGAACTTGGACTCCTCCACCTCGGGGTAGACCAGCTTGGAGAGAGCCAGGGCGCCCGGGGCCGCCATCACAGAGGCCGCGATGAGAGAGGCAGCGTCGATCTGCGAGAGAGATGGGGAGAGAGAGAGAGAGAGAGAAAAAAAACTGTGGGGCTAGGACGAGCCAGAAGAAAGAATGCCAGCAGGGGCCTGGCCCAGGGCAGCGGGGGGGGGGGGCCTCGAGCCAGGCTCGGGTGGACCCACGTATGCCATGCATGACTGTTCACACGTGGAGGGTCACAGGCCCTCCACACAGCACCCCACAAGTGCCCCGGGGCGTCTGCAAGCAAGGTGTAGTGCTGAACCCTGAGCCTCCAAGGAACTAAACGGGACTTGCCCAAAACCACAGGCTCTGGGCTCCTCCCAGTAGCTGATGGCTCTGGAAGCCGAGCTGGGGTCCCTCAGAGCTGGCCCAGATCAGCCCTCGCGTGGGCTGAGTCCTAGGCAGCGGTGAGGCCCGCACACAGACCCTCTCAGAGACCTTGCACACTTCCACGGCCCCCCCCTGCCCCCACCATCCCAAGTCCACTGTCCCTCTGGGCAGCAGAAGTTTTAAAAGTAAAAAGAAATAAGTCAAATTAGCTTTTAATTTTTGGCCATCCTGGAGTTTGAACTTGCCAGGCGGGTGCTTTACCGCTTGAGCCATGCCTCTAGCGCTCTGGTTATTTTTGAGATAGTGTCTCACTTTCTGTCCAGGTGGCCTGAACCTTGAGCCTCCTGTTTATACCTCCTACGTAGTGGGATGTCAGGTTCACAACTCCAAGCCCAGCTCTTTCTGTTGACATGGGGTCTCACTTTTTTTTTGCCTAGGCTGGCTTTAAGCTTTGATCTGCCCAAGTACCTAGGATTACAGGAGTGAGCTACCACACCCATTTTAGCTAATCCATCCAGATTATTGATAATTATTTTCTTCTGTGCTGTCTCACAGCCTGGCCCTGCCCTCGGGCCTTTCCCGAGCTCAGCTGCCCTGTGTGAGGGGTTTGTCTGTCTCACGGGGCCTGTGGTACCACTAGCCCAGGGACACTCCAGTACCAGCAACGGGACCCCAGGACTTGGAGGCAAGAGGTCACGAGGAAGGTGTCTGGAATCCAGAGGTGGAGGAGAGGCTGGGGGGGGGGGGAGCTGGGAGGGAGGCACTCGGGCCAGAGCAGTGGCAGCGACAGCCAGGCGGGGGCAGGAGAGAGCTTCTCAGCAGCCCGTGGCCGGCGCCTCGGGAGGCTGGAGGAAAGAGATTTTCTGTTGAACTTGCACAGCACTCCAGCACTTCTTGGGTCGTTGGGAAGAAGCAAAGGAAAGCAGAGGCTCTCAGAAGGCTGGCAGCGTTTTGCACGCGGAAAGCGCCAGCCCGGGTGGGGGGGGCAGGGGACGCGGCGGGTGGGGCCCGGTGACACCGCTGGACTTTGACCTAGGGACATGCGGGGGGGGGGGGAGCCGAGCCCAGGCTGGGGCTGCACAGATCCCCAGGAACACCAGGTGTGGGATGGTGGAGAAACGAGCACCGTTTTGGGAATCTGACAGACCGGGCTCTGATGCCCCCCCACTGCGCTGGTTCTCTGAGCCCCCTCCATCCCACGGGGCCCGCAGGCATCGGCACCTTGCCTGGCGCCTTGCCTGGATGCTCATTAAGTGGAGCGAGGTGGGGAGGGAGGGGGAACACGGGGGACCCCCCCCGCACACCAGGCCTGCCTGCCGCTCCCCTCCCCAGCCCCGCAGCCCGGCTACCACAGACCGATGGAGTGGGGGACGCCTGGGGGTGGGTAGGACCTGGGCAGGCAGGGGGAGGGCTCCTACCCCGAAGGAGATGTAGGCACCCAGCAGGCTGCCGGCGATGGTGGCGTAGCCCCCCACCATGACGGCGTGCACCTCCGACCGCGTCATGTCCCCCAAGTAGGGCTGGATCAGCAGAGGAGCCTCCGTCTACAGATGGGAAAGATGGCGGCCCAGCCGGGCTGTGGACCCCCCCGCCCTGCCCGGGGCAGGGGTCCCACGGGCCCGCCCTGGAGCCGCACTGCCATCCGATCCTGGCACGCGGGCACCCGGGCCTTGCTCCCCACACCCTTCGAGACCCAGGAAAGCCAAGGAGGCTGGAGCAGGGGACACGTCTGATCCCACAGCGGGGGGGGGGGTGTGTCTTTATATCACTGCACAGGCTTCATTTGAAAGCCTCGGGGACACTGGAGACAACTTAGCTTATATCTGTGGTGATTGGCTGAAATCAGAGAAGCAAACTCAACACCCTCGCGGAGTGCATGGCAGAAAAACACGCGCAGGTGTGCCACGGCATAAAAAGAGCCGAGCGTTGGGCTGGGAAGGTGGCTCACTGGTAGAGCGCTTGCCTGAGGCCCTGGGTTCGATTCCTCAGCACCACATAAGCAGAAAAAGCCAGAAGTGGCGCTGTGGCTCAAGAGGTAAAGTGCCAGCTATGAGCTGAAGAGCTGAGGGACAGCGCCCAGGCCCCGAGCTCAAGCCCCATGACCAACAACAAAAAAAGATAAAAATTCTCCAAAGTTCCCCCAACTATCCAATGAAACAGAGCACCTTTTGGCAAAGGGGTCTGGGGGACTCCAGCGTGCGGCAGCCCCCAGCGGCCCCGCCCGGGAGGAGCTGAGGGGACTGGGGGCCGGCGGCACCCTTGGAGCCCACATCACACTGGAAATACACTTTCCAAAAGGGGGGGGAGGCTGCGGAAAGATCCAGCAGGAAGAAGCGAGCTAGAACACCAAGCTTGTCCTCAGCCCAGGCCCAGCCTCAGTTTACCCTGAGAGGAAGGATCTGTGAGTCTCTAAGCTGGTAGGCTGGAGTGGCAGAGTGGTGGGAAGTGCGGGACTCTGTGGGCAGTGAGGGGGGACCCCCCATGGAGCGTCGGGAGACCCAGGGAGGAGGCTCAGCGGCTCTTTCTGGGTGCTTCTGAGCTCCAGGAGATGGGGTCCCCTACTGTACCCACCTGGCTCACAAAGATGTTTCCCGCCACACTCAGGGTCTCCGTGGCTGTGGTTCCCATGGTGAACTGCATTAGCCAGGCAATCTGGAAGGGAGCAGGTGGCCTTCATGAGGAGAGAGGGAGGAGAGCAAGAGAGAGAGAGAGAGGGAGGGAGAGAGAGGGAGAGGGAAAGAGAGAGGGAGAGAGAGAGGGAGGGAGAGAGAGGGAGAGAGAGAGGGAGGGAGAGAGAGGGAGAGAGAGAGGGAGGGAGAGAGAGGGAAAGAGAGAGGGAAAGAGAGAGAGAGAGACGGGAGGGGGGAGAGAGTCAGCGGTGCAAGGACCTCCCAGCGCTGGGAGTAGAAGATTCTGGGAGGCGTGGACCGCAGGGTCACGGCGTTTAGTCGGGAGGTCGGGAGGTCGGGGGGCGTGGACTCACCTTCAGGATGACCCACTGCATGAGGCCCAGGTAATAGAGCACCGACATGACGCAGCTGAAGAAGACGATGATGGGCAAGACCTGGGGAGCAGCGGCCGGGTGGCCCGGGCAGTGGCAAGGGACCGGCAGGGCCGGGACTCTTGGACGGGCCCACCGCCACGCCTGGAGCCTCTGCCCTCTCCACGCTGCCCGCCCGCCGCTGCCCGCCCTCCCCCAGCCTGAGCACTTCCTGCCCTGAAGGGGGTGGTTGGGAAAGGCACTGGGCTCCCCTCCGTGCCCTGCCTTGGGCCGGGACCCAGAGCTCACCCACCTGAAAGGCAAAGACCTCCTTCACCAGCGCCTCCCCAAACACGAAGCTGGAGCCGGCCTCGGTGTAGCTCAGGAACACCTGACATAGGAGGGGTCAGGGGATGGCGGAGGTCGGGGGGGCGGGAGGTGGGACACTGTGGCCACAGATGTGGGGCGGGGGGGGTAGGGAGGGGGGACCTGGGGCCTCCAGGCTCTGGGCGGGGTGTGTCCATTGATGCACACCAAAGCAGTAATCCACAGTTGTGTGTGTGTGTGCATGAATGCATGTGTGTGTGTGTGCACGCGCGTGTGTGCTGGTCTTGGGGCTTGGGCACTGACCCTTGAGGGCTTTTCTGCTCCGGGCTGCTCACCCGGCTGCAGCCCAGCCTAAGCCGAGGGCAGCTGCCCGGCCGGCACCTGTCCCCCGCCGCCGGGCTCGGGTCCCATCTGCCCTCCTGGGCCCTGGGCATCTCTGTGGCCGCCTCCCCCTCCATCCTCCCAATACCGTGTCCCCCCCTTCCCCGCGGGGTCCCTGGGACTCACCTGGATCTGCTCCCCAAGCCACTGAAAGGCAACGAATCCAGGTTCTGTTCGGATGACGAAGAGTCCGAGCAAAAACTGCAGTGCAAGGCCCCAGCCCACGGCGCGCCAGGACACCTGCCGAGGAGGGTCCCGTGAGCTCCGTGCTGGCGCTCCACACAGGGCGCGCGAGCGGGGCTGGGGGACAGGGGACGGGGCCGCGTCCTCTCGGTGTCCACACCAGAGCGGCAGCCGGCGCTGTGCCACAGCCTAACCAAGGAACTACGGAAAACCCAAACGGACCCGGGCGCGCCGCGCCACGTCCCCCCGCCGTGGCCTCGGGGGTCACTGCCTGGCCGGCGCCCGTGTGTCCCCCATGGACAGAGCTGCGCGAGGCTCAGCAGAGGCGGACGGGGTCGCTCAGGGGCTGCCCCTTCACTGGCACGGGCGAGTATGCTGTTGGGGGGCAGGCCCTGAGCCCAAGGACTTGCTGGGGCTCCAGGAGAAGCCGCAGCCGCCCCTGACAGCCAGCTCCTCCGCGCTGCGTCCCCGCCGTCCGGGTCAACGCCACTCCAGGCTCTCAGGGCGGGGCTGCCGAGGGACATGGAGCCAGCCACGCAGCCAGGCACTCACAGCACGGCGGTGCTTGGAGCAGGCAAAGAGGAAGAGGACGAACACGCAGATCCCCACGAAGGAGACCAACTGCTCCGGCCGCTGGGACGTGTCCAGAGACAGCCACAAGACCAGGCCCACGGCGGCAGCCAGCGCCACACCCCTGCAGAGAGAGGCAGGAAGCCCCACGCCTCACACCTGGGCACACCTGAGAACCCCCAGACACACGCACGCAGCGCATCCCTACGCACATGCACAGGCATTCTTTTTGTTGTTGTCGGTCGTGGGGCTTGAACTCTGGGCCTGGGTGCTGTCCCTCAGCTCTTCAGCTCAAGGTGAGCGCCCTACCACTTGAGCCACAGCACCACACGCAATTTCTGCTTATGTGGTGCTGAGGAATCGAGCCCAGGGCCTCATGCATGCAAGGCAAGCACTCTACCCCTAAGCCACTTTCCCAGCCCTCTCCCCACTTACCTCTTAAACCAGAGGCTCAGACGGGAACCTCTGGGGGGGCCCACACATGGGAACGCCATGCACCTGCCCAGCCTCGGCCCCAGAAGCCTCTTCAGCAGGCTGTGGGCCTGGAAGACCAGGGCCAGGCCCGTAAGGACCAGCAGCGCCAGGGCCCTGTGCACGTCCAGAAGGCAGGCCACCAGCAGGAAGGCCGCGTAGGCTGCAGTGACAGCGGCGTGCTGGTGAGGCCGGCCGCCTGCGCCCTGCCTGCGACCAGCCCGCGACCCGCCCCCACCCGCTGGGCACGGCCGACCCCACCCTGGCCCAGGCTGGCTTTCCTCGGGAGGCGGACCGCGCACAGAGCTGGCCTGGCCTGCCTGAGACCCCGGGGGATTCCCAGCACCGCCGGCCACAGGTGCGCACCGAGCCTCGTGGATTCAGACCTGAGCTACTGGCGGAGGGGTGTGCGGAGTGAACGGTCCACAGGACGGTGCAGCCACACACACACACACACACACACACACACACACACACACACACGTGCGCCCCCCCCCTGCACAGCACTCCTCCACTGGAACTTTACCCTGCGGCCACACCGGACTCCGCGCCCGTGCCCACCCGGCTCACCTTTGGTTCCCCCCCCGCCCCCGCTCAGCTGCAGGCTCCCGCCTCGCGCCTTTCTCTCCTCCACCTGCCTGACCTCCGCCCCACCCCCGGCACTGAAGGCCACCTCCTCCTGGAGGTCCTCCCTGACGCCCGGCCCGCTGGGGCTCCCCGCGCCCCGCGCCGTGCCTGTGACGGGCGGATGGATGGCGTCCTGCGTGGGACAGGCCCTCACCCGTGCAGAGCAGGCCTGTGACCACCCAGCGCAGCAGCTGGGCATGCTCCTGGCAGAAGCTTCTGGCTCTCTGAACCGGCTGCAGGCTTCTCCTGGGGAGGGGTCCACGAGGTCCACGGGGTGCTTCTGAGCTCCCACCTGGTGGGGACTCCTAGCTCTCCAACCCCCCAGCATCCCCCATGGGCATTCCCAGTGTGAGAGCCACCCGCAGCCCTGCAAACTCGGGTCTGGCGTGTGGGCCGCGCCCTGGCCCAGAGGGGAGCTGGGGCACGGCGGGTGCCCCGCTGCCGTCGGGCTGAGCGTCGAGCAGACCGGCCGCTCTTTAGGGGTGTCCCCGGCCCCTCCCTGTCTGCGCTCAGCTCCCGCAGGGGCTGCAGCAATGGCCCTGTTCAAGGCCCAGCTCGGGAATCTGAACGGAGCTTTGGGGCTCCCCAAAGTGTCCAAAGTGTTCCAGAGACCGATGGGCGGGAAGGTGGCCTCCCCCACCCCCGGGGGGGGTCACCGGTCACCTACCACCGGGAGGAGGGCCCGGGGTGCACGGCACTCCAGCCATCCCCGACCTGCGGCTGTGCGGGCCTTGGGTCGCCGCCCGGGAGCCGGCCTTCCTCCTAAAGCCAGGGCATGCGCGCACCCCGGGCCATGAGGGGTCGCCGTCAGACTGAGGAGGGCCGGGGTGCGGGATTCCACTCCTAACTCTGGTTGCGGTCCTCCATCGGCCTCGGGCAGGCCGGTGGGGAGCAAGGACAAGGCCGTGCGCTCCCCCAGGCCCCCGAGGCCTCCTGCCCCTCCTCCCCACTGCCCCTCCTCCCCACTGCCCAGGCGGTATGGGGCTGTGCGGGCTGTGTGTGGCTGTACAGGGCTGGGGGTGGGCTGTGTGCAGGCTGTGCAGGGCGGGGAGGGGGCTGTGTGTGGGGCTGTGTGGGGCTGTGTGGGGCTGTGTGGGGCTGTGTAGGGCTGTGTGTGGGGCTGTGTGTGGGGCTGTGTAGGGCTGTGTGTGGGGCTGTGTGTGGGGCTGTGTGTGGGGCTGTGTGTGGGGCTGTGTGTGGGGCTGTGGGGGGCTGTGTGCGGGGTTGTGCGGGACTGTGGGGGGCAGCACCTGGTAGGGCCTGGGGGGGTCTGAGCATACAAGCTGCGGGAGGAGGGGCTGAGGGGAGCGGGGGTTCGGCCACCCAGGCCCCGGGAGCTGATGCGCAGGCAGGGCGTGGACAGACCATTCTTTCCAAGAACTCGGCCCCCATGTTGTCCAGGCCGCGGGCCGCGGGCGCCAGGGAGAAGGCCTCTGCCATGGGCTGGACCGTCCAGCTGAAAGACAGAGCGGGGCCAGAGGAGGGGTCAGAGGAGAGGGGCGGGGGGGCGCGGATGCCCGGGCCGGACCCCAGCGCCTGTGGTACCCGCCCGGCCTCAGCCGTGGGCCTGTGCCAGACCAGTGTCTGCAGGCCGAGCCCCGGCCAGCGCCCACAGCGCGCCTGAAGGGTGGCCGAGCGCTGCCACTCCCCGCAGCTGCCTGGCGCCAAGGACGGGACGGGACGCCACGGGGACGCCAGGGGGGCGCCTCATCCGGTGATCCAGCCAGGCTGACCAAGGCCCATCCATACCCTCGCCCTCCCCGGACGCCGACGCCTCCCGGAAGCAGAAGCTGCTCACGGACAGGACCGCGGTGCTACTGTCAGGGAGAGTCAGCCAGCCGCGCACGGGAGAGGCTGAGGCAGGAGGATCTTAAGTTCAAATCCAGCCTGTGCTGCGTGTGCGTGTGCGTGTGTGTGTGTGTGTGTGTGTGTGTGTGTGTGTGTGTATTCTCTGCCTCAAATCAAAGAGGAAGGAGCGTAAGGAGGCCTTCCTTCCCATTCCTACCTCCCCTCCTTCCTAGCCTTAGGAAGCACCCCCACTTAACCCAAACACCCCCTCACACAGTGGGTCCTCCTGCGCAGAGCGCGGGTCCTACTCACGGTCTGGTGACAGGTGGCCTGGACGCCGCACTGCAGGGGACTGGGTCCAGGCTGCTCCCGCCAGCCCCGCCTTGTCATCTCAGCAGAACTTGGGGCAGAGTCCAGAGACTGGGGGGGGGGGGGGAGTTTTGGCTCAAATGGCAGACTTGCGTCTCTCTCTCTTTTTTTTTTTTGGTTTTTTTTTGGGGGGGGGGGGCTGGGCGTGGGCCCAGGAGTTCTGGCCGGGGACCAGGAGATGAGGGAGGGGAGGCACAGCAGCCCCCAAAGTCTCCCCTCCTCATTCCCACCCCACCCCACCCCGTCAGGCCTAGCCCCAGGCCCCTGGCCCGGGAAGCTGCGTGCGTGCGTGCCGCCCCCAGCCCCGCACCTCAGCTTCATTTTGCATCTGTCTCCTCTCGCTGGAGGGGCCACTGTTCTTGGAGCTGCCGTCCCTGAGCGGGAAGATGGGGTACGGAGTGGGGCTGACACAGACAGGAAGTGCGTGTCAGCTCTGCAGCCTGACACAGTCACACACACCAGGCCAAAGTCACGCCATATTTTTCTCCTGTATCTTGTTTTGTTCCAACAAATGCCTAAGCAAAACCGGGTACAGAGCAAAGGGGCAAGCACTTCAGTTCCTCCGTCTTCAAAGTAAACAGGAAGCTTTTCCGCAAGGGGTCAGCACATCTCTTTAATAATTAATGGTACTCTAGCGCTGGGCGGGCGTGGTAACGCGGGGCTGTAATCCCTGAACTCGGGAGGCTGAGCCTGGAGGATCAAGAGTTCAAGTTGGGAAGGGAAGGAGGAAGAGGAGGAAGAGGAGGGGCAGGGGGAGGAGGGGGAGGAGGGTGTGGTAGCTCATGCCTATAATCTTAGTTTTGTTTTTTTTTCTACTAAGGTTTGAACTCAGGCTTCCTGCTTCCTAGGCAAGCTCTCTACCACCTGGGCCACTCCCCCTTCTCCCCACCCCTCCCAGTCCAATGTTAGCTTCTTGGGAGGCTGAAATCGGGAGGATTGCAGTTTTTAGGGCAGCCCCGGTAAAAAGTGTATGAGACTTCATCTCAACAAAATAGTTGGGGATAGCGGCGTGCACCTGTCATCCGAAAAGCACGAATTGCAGGATCACAGCCCAGGCCACCCTGGGCAAGAAGTGAGGACCCCGTCTGCTAAGATGACGGGCCCTGGAGGCCTGGCGTGGCCACAGTACTGCCGCCAGGCCTCTGCCAGCCCCAGGGCCTGGGCCGAGGGGGGACTCTCCGGCTCCCTCTGGTGGGTGCCGGGAGCCCTGGGGAGCGCGCCGGGCGGTGCTCCTCCTCCAGGCCTCCCCTCACTCTGCCCCCGCCACAGGGACGCCCTTCCTGTCATCCAGACGGCCCTGGCCGGGCTGGCAGAGCCGTGCGCCCACACTGCTGCACCCCGCCCAGGCGCCGGCAGCGGGCAGGGAGGCCGAGGCGGGTCCGCCGCCTGCTTCTCTCCTGCGTGGGATGGGGTCCACTGCCACCGGCTTCTACTCACATCTGTTTCATTTGGAAAGCAGTCCTGTGTCATTCAGAGCACACAGAGCACAACTGCGTGCAGAGGACGAAGACCACAGGCGGAGGCCGGGGTGTCCCGGCGGTGGACGCTGCCTGTCACCCGAGACATTTTCTTGTAGACAGGTTGCCTTCCCAGCTGTGTGTGGGAATCTTCCCCTCCTGAGTGGCTGGGACTACAGGCATGAGCCTCTGGTCCCTGCCCCTATTCTTTATCTTTCTGCACAAAGCTCTCCTAGAATCCATGTACTCCCCGTGGGGAGAAGCATTCTCATTCACAAAAGACTGACCCTGTCCTCCTCCCACCCCCACCCACGGTGTGGCTGTGTGGCCGGGATTCAGCTCCGGCTTCCCACGCCTGCAGGGGAGGAAGGCACTTTCTCAGCCCCCCACCCCCAATAGCCCAGAGCAAGGATTCTACCGGAACTGTCCGCGGGTGGAGTTCCTGGGCCTGGATGCGTGGTTGACATTTGACCCGAGGATCGCTCAAAGCCCGGGCAGAGCAGCTGCCCGCTGGGCCGTGCGGATCCTCACGGCTCCTTGTCAGGCCACTATGCGGGCAGGCCCCTCTGTCCAGGGATCTCGTCTGTCCTGGGCATGGTCAGGTCTGAGGCTGTGGGGTGACCCGCAAGGGCGGCGCCTGCCGGGAAGCCGCTCCTGTCTGCAGACTGCTGAGGTCCTCAGGAGCGGCGGCGGTGGTGGCGGCGGGAACAGATGTGCCAGATGTGCCAGGCTGGGGGGAGCTGCCACCTGCAGGCCCGAGGGTCCCCGCCGGTGGTTTCCTCTGCCTGGCTCCTTGGACCCACACCTCCCACCAGAAAAGGGCTGGAGATTTGACTCAGCACTTGAGCACCAACCTAGCAAGCATGAAGCCCTAAGTTCAAACTCAGTACTGCAAAGTGATGATGATGCTGATTACAAAAAAAAAAAAAAAAAACAAGAAAGGCAGGAATTCACAAATGCTTTATTGGGTCCCTGGCATGCACCCAGCCTCGCCCCCCCCCCCCCGGCCTCCCATCTTCCGCAGGCCCAGAACACAGACACAGACGCCCTCCCGGCTACGCCCAAGTGCTAGTTGGAAGATGTGGTAAAAGAGGTTCCCTGTGCTGGGCAGCAGAGGGGCGGGCATCGCGGGCTGGGTGGGCATCGTGGGCTGGGCGGGCATCATTGCGGGCTGGGCGGGCATCATCGTGGGCTGGGTGGGCATCGCCATGGGCTGGGCGGGCATCGCGGGCTGGGCGGGCATCATCACGGGCTGGGCAGGGGTCCCGGTGTGAGCATGGAAATCAGACCTTCAGCTGTGGTTCAGCAATGGCTGGCTCCCACAAAACAAAATGGCCAGACAGCCCTGAGACATCGCCTAGGAACTCCTGTCATCAAAGACTTTGGGGTGGCCGACAAGTCTGCCTTGAGCTGCCGAGGTAAAGCCATGATTTCCCACCAGGTATCCGGACCCAGCTGGCCAGAAGGACAAGATCCCAGGAACTCTCTTGAGGAAAATCTGACCGTGACTCTCAGGGGGCACCAGGGTCCCCCGTCCTGCCTGCCCGAGGGAGTCGGGGCTGTGTATCTGGGATCTATGGCCGGGTCGGGGGAGGGTTTTCCCTGTGCGGCGGTCGGATGCGTGTTCAGAGGCCGGCGACCTCACAACACCTGCACGAACTCCTGCGCCCGTGCACAGAGCTGCGGGGCGGCTGGCGTCCGCGCGTTTCCTTCGCAAGGCAGGCAAAACTTGTGTACAGCACCCAGGGGCGTCGTACTCGAGCGGACGGGTCTGGGGAGCTCCGGTTCTGGGCTGGGTCTGGGGCAAGTGTGGCCCCGACCTGGGAAAGCCTTGTACACGGTCAGGGCCGCTGCCCAGTCACATGACCCGCGGGGGCCTCTGCAGGGGAGGGGTGGTCATGGGTGTCCTGATGAGGAGAGTGTGGCAGGGGACCCGGGGGCCTGGGGTCTGCTCACACTCTGGCTGATTAGGAGCCCCCTCCCTGGCCCACTGCTCTGCTTGCTTCACAGCGGGGTGTGGAGCACCCCTCATCCTCCCTCCCCCCTCCTCCCACCCTCCCCTCCACCCGCCCTGGCCAAGATGGCCCTTGATAGGCCTCCTTTTACCCATCAGGCCTCCTCTTATTTACCCATCATGCCCTCTTTACCTATCATGCTTCTCCAGCCATCAAGACCCACAATGCTCTCCTGGCCCTCTCCTCCCTCATTCCATCCACAAGAGAACGTGCTGTAGCAACAAAAGCTGAGCCTGGGGCCGCGCCAAGCTTCCTGGGCCGCAGGCAGTGGCTGGTGAGGGCGAGGTGGTGTGGGGGGACTCCGCTGCGGCTCCAGAGGCACCACACAGAGAGGCCGTCCGGGGCGCTGCGTGGCCCAGGCGCAGGCTGCTATGGAGGTTTGAGGGTCCCCGGGGCAGAGTCAACACACGCCGCCGCCACCCGCCGCCGGCTTGGTGGGTTTTCCCCACAGAATTTCGAAGTGGGACTATGACAACACTAGACAGGGGAAGACCGCCATGGTGGTGCTGGGCTTGGGGTAAGAGTGGCCGTGTCACCCCCGAAATACCCCAAGCAGAGAGGGCTTGTTCTGGATGGCAGTCAGAGAGCGTGGCAAGAGTGTGTGTGTGTACGTGTGTGCGCAGGTCTACCTTCTGCCCCTGAAACCCTGTCGACTCATCCACTCCTCTGATACGAAATCCCATCTTTTCCTCTCTCCCAATCTATGAGGCCCTGCCAGATTCTCCAAGCCAGATTCTCCTCCCTGGAATCTGAATCGCAAGCGCCGGACTCCGCTGGAGACTGACCGCGGCACCTCAGGCGAGGCTGATGGCTCAACCACTCGCTCTGTTTTGTGAGCTGCCCGACGTCCTTTCCCAGGAAGCTTTTGTCCTGCTGAGGTTGGTCCACATTCGTTTCTGTTGCCCTGACCCCCCGGGGGCTGAAGGGCAGCGGCCTGGGCCTGGTCTCCCGCCGGCCACCTGGGCGGGGCCCGCGCAGCGTGTCTGCAGCGCGGTGGACTGGACCGAGCGCTCGCTGGCCGCTGCAGACTGGACCGAGCGCTCGCTGGCCGCTGCAGACTGGACCGAGCGCTCGCTGGCCGCTGCAGACTGGACCGAGCGCTCGCTGGCCGCTCTCCTGCTCCCGGCCTCCCGGCCGTGCAGGCGGGGCTGGGGGAACACGGGTCCGGAGGGAAGCCAAGAAGCCGCCCGAGCCAGGAGGAGGTAGAGAAGTTAGAAATGTCAGAATGGAAGGGAGATGTCCAGCCAGGAAGGACCCGTGCAGGGGACGGGAGGCTCAGCCGCTCCGGGGCCTGCCACGGTGGAGGTGGCCACGGGAGGCGGCCGAGCCCCGGGGCTCTGCTCTTCCCCCCTCGCCACCCTCTTCCAGATGCACTGACAGTGCCCAGACGCACAGACGTGCCGTCGCCACAGAAGACTGAGCCCCAAATCGTGCTGGGAGCCCCGATGCGGGCTTTCTACTCCAGTCGACACGGTTCCCTTTTGCCGTCAGTCTGGGGGTGACAGGACCCTCGTGGAGCCTGGCAAGAGAGGGCTTAGCACCCCACGCCCGACGTGGCCAGCGGGGCCCGCGCTGCTGCCCCTCCTGCCTTCCGAGGGGAGCAGGCTAGCCCGCCCCCCTCCCGCCCCGCATCCCGCGAGGCCCTGGGGTCCCCGGGGCCACGCAGGAGGGCGCAGGGCCGCAGCACGAGTCTGGCGCTGGCTGCGACGTGGTGTGGGCGCCTCTCTGCCCAAGCCCATGAGCACACAGCAGCCTTCCTTCCCCAGAGGGCCCCAGACCTCTCCCCGTGGGTGACCCTCACCGTGACCCCGCACCCCTCAGCGCGAGGCCCCTCTGAGTCAGCACACACCCCCCCGTGCCAGGTTTTGCCTCACAAGCCAGGAAGTAGAGACATGGGGGACACAGTGGGGTGCAAGGAGAGGCCCCTGGGTCTGTCCCCCCCCCCACTGGGCCCTGGTGGGCGGGCTGTGGAGCCTCTGGACAAAGGACAAGCCAGGAGCTACAGTGGCAGGCGGCAGGCGGGCTCGCAGCCAGCCGAGGGGCGCAGCGAGTGGGCATCAGCGACCAGGAAGAAGAGCTGGCGCCTGCTGGCGGAGACCAGGGCGCAAGGCTGGCTCTGGGGGTACGCGGCAGTGAGGGAGGCCGAGTTGCTGGAAGAAGGGACCCTGAGGGTCAGTCACAGGCCCAGCGGAGGCCGGGAAGAGCCGAGTTGAGGGCAAGTGCCGGCCAAAAGCGCCAGGGTGCCCCCCCCCGGCAGGGCTGGGCCAGGGCGGGGGAGGGGAAGGTTGGGGTGCAGGACGCATGCAGAGGGCTTGGGAGCTTGGCAGTGGCAAGTGTAAACTTCAACACGGCTCGCGGAGGCGCGGCCGGCTCAAGGCCTGAGAGCCCCGGGCGCCCCCGGCCGGCCGGCACAGGAGAGGCCGGCAGCTGCCGCCGGCCCCAGCCTTCCAAGAGGCGCAGAGAGGCCCGGAGGTGCCTCAGCGGGGCCTCTTCTCCAGTCCTGGATCAAGAATGTCCATCCGGTTCAAGCTGCTTTCTGGTTGGTCTGCGGCTAGGTGGAGGCTCCCAGCCTCCAGTTGGGGCTACCGCGTGCCCTGGGGCTTCGAGCCCCCCTCTTGGGCTCGGGGGTGACCTGGTGCCAGGGCAGCGGCTGCCTCCGAGGCCCGAGGGGTGGCCTTGGGGCTCGGCATGCTCTTCCTGGCACCCTGCGGGCTGGGCTGGGGTTTCTTCTGGGGCTGAGGACTCAGCTGGGGCCCCTTCCGGCCAGCAGAGGGGCTCTTGGAGCCCTTGGCCTTGGCCGGGGGGTGGGCGGCCTCGGGGCCCTTGAGGGGCGTCAGCCCCAGCATCTCACAGAAGGGGTTGCACTGGTGGGAGGAGGCAAACTGGTCCAGCAGTGCAGGGAAGCAGCTCTCCTTGAGACCTTGGTATCTGCAGCCAAACGGGGGGGGGTGCTGAGTGAGGGCCGGCCGGGGACGGGCCTGGGGCTGGCTGGCCCCATCAGAGGACACTCCCAGGGACACGTCAGGTGGCAGTGTCCAGAGCCTCAGTATTGCACTGGCTCCGTCCACCTCGCACCGGGCTCGGTGTGGCTGCTCTGTGGTGGGAGCCTGGCTTGTGTGTCTGTGTGCACGCGCGCGTACACGCACCAGCCCTAGGGCTTGCATGCAGGGCGCTGTCCCTGAGCTTTCAGGGCTGGCGCTCTACCACTTGAGCCACAGCTCTACTCGCAGCTTTCTGGTGATTGATGGGGGTACGAGTCAGGGCTCTCCTGCCCTAGTTGACGTGGAACTGCGATCCTCAGATCTCCGCCTCCCAAGTAGCTGGGATTACAGGCGTGCGCCACTGGCACCTAGCAGCAAAACTGCCAGCCCTTCTCAAGTGAGATGTGGGGAGACTCCGAGGGGCACACCTGCGGGGCGCCGGGGGCCTCAGTGCGCAGTTTCAGACCTGGGGCCAGGCATAGGGGGGCAGCACCCCCAGGCCCAGCACCGCAGAGCCAGGAGAACCAGGGGGGTCCTCTCTGGTGCCTCTCCCACCCCAGGAGCACTCACCCTCGCAGTCTGGTGGCAATCTGCACGTCAGTCATCTTCCAGTCCACCCCTAGGGAAAGAGAGAGGCTGTGGATGTGGCCGGCCGGGCCCCGGGCCCCGCGCCTCCCATCCACACAGACACCGTGTAGGACAGGAACTTCCCAGGGGCTCAGCTCAGAGCCCCCTCACGGCCACCACCGGGAGCCCCCGTACCCCATCCTCCCAGGACAGGAGATGTCTCAGACCAATGCCTTGGCACCTTGTAGTTACTCGTTCACTCAGTAACAGCACTGTACTGACGGTGCAGTGCTAGCTGCCAGGCTGAGCTCACCGGACCAAGCGGGGCCACCAGCTGCACCGGCCCAAGCGGGGCCACCAGCTGCACCGGCCCAAGCGGGGCCACCAGCTGCACCGGCCCCGGCTCCACTAAAACTTTGACCTCGGTCTCCACAGATGAAAGAATCCCGAGGAGGGGAGAGAAACTGGGGACTCCGCGCTGGATGCGGCAGATTCACACTTCCCCTGCGGACGGCTGCAAGCTCTCCCCGCACCAGGGGGGACCGAGGCGTGGGGGACCGTGGGGGTGGAGCCCGCAGCGTGGACGGGGAGAAGCCAGCCCAGCCCTGCCTGCGCGGCTCAGCCACATGCACCAGGCGCCCGATGCTGGCTCATTTTCAACGTGCCCAGGATCTTCCCACGGCTGTTCTTGGCTATCTCGGTGCGGGAGAACCAGTGCAGGCTGTGGGATCGGCCACACCCAGATTTCCAGCCCAGCTCTCTCACAAGTCACTTAAACTCTCAACCGCCCAAGAGTGCGGCGAGGACCATGCAAGGGTGGTTCCGGAGGTGAGAAACGGCTCCGTGCAACAAACACGCACGGAGCACACTCCTTTCTCATTACACCAGTGCTCCCTGACCCCCGCGCGGGACCTGAGTGTGCAGGCCGTCTGCGCTTTGGTTTTCTTTCCTTGTCACTGATATTGAAGACAAAGTCTCCTGTATAACCCAGGTTGGCCTTGAACTTGCAATCCTCCTGCCCCTGCCTCCCAAGTACTAGGATTACGGGAAAGCAATACCATGCTTGGTCATGCTTTGGTCTGTCTGTCTTTCTTGCTGAGCTCTTTTGCTCAAGGTTAGCCCTCTACCACTTCCAGCCACAGTGCCATTTCTAATTTTCTGGTGAAAGAGAGTCTTACAGACTTTCTTGCCTGGGCTGGCTTTGAACTGCAATCCTCAGCTGTCAGCCTTCTGAGTAGCTAGGATGACAGGCGTGAGCCACCGGCCCCCAGCCCATGTCATTGATTTTTGCTTTGGTTTTGTTTCTGCCAATCTGGGGCCTTGAACTCAGTTCCTGGGCTCAGTTCCGGAGCTCCTTTTGCTCAAGGATAGCACTCTACCACTTGAGCCATGGCGCCACTTCTGGTTTTTTCTTTTTCTTTTTTTTTTTTCGGTCTGGTCATGGGCCTGAACTCTGGGTGTGGGTCCTGTCCCTCAGTTCTTCAGCTCAAGACTAGAGCTATACCACTTGAGCCACAGCGCCACTTCCGGTCTTTTTTCTTCCTATGTGGTGCTGAGGAATCGAACCCATGGCCTCATGTATGCAAGGCAAGCGCTCTACCACTGAGCCACCTTCCCAGCCCCGACTTCTGGCTTTTTCTGTGCATGTGGTGCTGAGGAATCAAAACCAGGGCTTCGTGAATGCTGGGCAAGCACTCTACCATGGAGCCACCTTCCCAGCCCCCATGTCATTGTTTTTAAAGCAAATTACTTTCCAATTTTGAGGGGGCAGGAGTGCCCTCCTGCACGAGGCCCTGGGTGTGCACTGGGATTTCACAGGAAACGGCCCGAGCGGGTCTCCTGGGAGAGCTGGGAAGAGGGCGCTGCAGGCATCCGACCTGCGCTGCACCACGGCCCGCCCCACCGTGTGCCTTCACATGCAGGTGGGCTGCCCACGCGCGTACCTGCCATGTCCGTGACGAGGAAGCTGCCGTTCGTCCACTGGTACAGCCAGTGCTGGAAGCTCCGGCATTTCTGCATGGCCTCGGAGCTGCTGGAGGCTGTGGGGGCCCCGGCGCCCCATTCCCGGGAGCAGTAGGGCTCCAGGGGCTCGCCCAGGTCTTCCTCCAGCGTGGCGTAGGGGATGTTGTTGGCGGGCCGGTAGATCAGATGGAGCGGGATGATCCTGAGCACACGGGCGGGAGTCTGGCCCCAGGTCACCTCCCTCTAGCCCCTCTGTATTCTTGGAGCTGAAGGGCCGGCCCAGCCAGGGAGATGCCCCAGCCCCAGCTCAGAACGGACCCCAGGCCGCTGACTTCATGGTCCTGTCCCCCCCTCCCTGCCCTCTGAGAGAGGCTGAGGCCAGACGCTGCTGGGCCTCCGGGCAGACGGCGCAGGGCTTGGTGGGGGCAGAGGCCTGTGCAGGGAAGAGGCCATTGGGACAGAGCCCAGCGCCAGCCAGGAGAAAACGCGCTGCACCTCGGGATGGAGGGAGGCCAGCACTCCCACGCATCCTCACCCCCCACGGAGGCCCCCACCCACGCATCCTCACCCCCCACAGAGGCCCCCACCCACGCGCCCTCACCCCCCACGGAGGCCCCCACCCACGCGTCCTCACCCCCCACGGAGGCCTCCACCCACATGTCCTCACCCCCCACGGGGGCCGAAAGCCCACAGCCACCAACCCGCAAAACCTGGGGGTGGGACAGACCCCCTCTAAAGTGGGGACATCTATTTCTAGACCCAGTGACAGCGCCCTCGGGCTGACCGTGGGGTACCCACGCACGGTGGCTCTGCCCTGGCCGCCCCTCACTTACTCGGGCACCTCGCCAAAGCCGGGGACAGCCCGGGCCTCCGCCGCGAAGATTTTGCAGTACTCCCGGCTCATGTTCTGGATCTTGCAGCCCTGGGATCAGGGAAACCCGGGTGCCATGGGCCAGCCCGCTCCCCCCTTCCGTGGCTGCCCAGCCCGCTCCCCCCTTCCGTGGCTGCCCAGCCCGCTCCCCCCTTCCGTGGCTGCCCAGCCCGCTCCCCCCTTCCGTGGTTGCCCAGCCCGCTCCCCCTTCTGTGGCTGCCCAGCCCGCTCCCCCCTTCCGGGGCTGCCCAGCCCGTGGCGCGGCACAGCGCAGGCTGCAGGGGGCTTCCCGCCCCAGAGCAGGGGCCTGTACCCTCCACTCCCTTCTCTGCACCTCGTCCCCTTACACCTGATTCAAACCCAGGTGTGGGAGAGTTTCCTGTTTCCCGGAGCCCTGGCCCCTGCACCCCAGGAGACCCCCAATCCCTCACTCGTGTCACCTCGCAGCGACAGGGCTCCGAAGGGGACTGGACTTCCACAGCACAGCAATAAAAGAGTTTCAAAACTGGGCTCTCCGTGCACTGCACCTGCGCAGTTCCCCAGCCAGCAGCCGGGCCGGCCGCATCCCAGCACTGCACCTGCGCAGTTCCCCAGCCAGCAGCCGGGCCGGCCGCACCCCAGCGCTGCACCTGCGCAGTTCCCCAGCCAGCAGCCGGCCGGCCACATCCCAGCCTCTCCTCCGCTGCTGCTCTGGAGCCTGAGGCCGAGGCCGTGGCCGCTGCCTCCTACCTGGATGGTGACGTCGTAGTTTCTGCCCAGGAGAGACGTCTCGCCGCTGGGCCCGAACACCAGCAGGCTGGACACCTTGATGACGCACGTGCGGCCCGACTCGAAGATGGGTTCCAGCCCGTAGATGACCCTGGCGCGGGAGGCCTTCCGGAGGTCCCCCCGGGGCCGGGCTCCGCGGGGCTCCTCGCTCACCAGCCGCCCGAAGAGCTTGTCCCCCCAGCAGCCCGAGTCCGCCAGGCCCTTGGCAAACACCATGGGCGTCATCTCGATCTCCTCCCCGACTGAAAGAGACCAGGGAGAGGTGCACCCGAGCCGCCCCGCCGGCGCGCAAGGGCGGACGGCCCCCTTCCCTGCGGCTCGTCTACGGCTGCCGGGACCCCGTGGACCGGGCGCAGGAGACATCGGTGCCAGAACGGCCGCCATCAGACCACCCCACAGAGCTGCGGGACGCAGGGCCCAGTCCCCCCGCACCCCACAACTTCCCTGTGTGGAGCGGCGCAGGAGCTCGGAGCCCGGGAGCAGCTCGGCGTGGAAGGCGGCGTCCGTGCCCCCCTCGACCCGGGCAGAGCCCCGAATCCGGCCCCCAGCCCTCCGCCTCCCTCGCAGGCCGGCCTGGCCGCGCCGCGCGGGGGGCAGTGCGTGGCCTCCCTGCGGAGCCCTGCTCCCCACGCGGGGCAGCGTACCTTCCGCTTCCTCCCTGGAGACGAAGCTAGACAGCACTGCGGAGAGAAAAGACCAGGCCGGGGCTCAGCCGGGCGCGGCTACACACCCGAGCGCTCCCACCAGGGCGCCAGGCTGGAAGAACCCCACGCCTGCCCCGGCGCCACGCCCACCGCAGCCCGCCGTCACCGCGCCACGCCCACACAATGCCACGCCCACGCGGCCACGCCCACGCGGCCACGCCCACACAATACCGCGCCCACCAGACGCCCCGCCCACCATGCCACGCCCACCCTGCAGCACCCCCCCAAGCCACGCCCATCGTACGCCACACACACGACCTCGCCCACCCGCACCTACCCTACACCACGCCCACCAGTGCCACACCCACCCTACGCCCCCACCCATACCATGCCCATCATACACCACGCCCACCACATACCACGCCCACACAGTGCCACGCCCATCCTACGCCACCCTACCCCCA